TAAATTAATTATAATCGTCGGATCAATAATACTAAATCAATTTGAACTGCAAAAAGTTCAAGACAAACCAAACAAACTACTTTATTATATATATATATATATAGAGAGAGAGAGAGAGGAGATGAAATAGTGTGTTTAAAATATCTAAGAGATAAGAGAGAGAGACAGTTATATGAGAGATAAGAGTGTTAGAGTTAAGTCCAATTATACTCGTTGAATCATAATTTTTGAGATGATTTGAACAGTCTTTTATGTTGAGATTACATTTATCCGTTAGATGTGTTTATGTTTTGTCTCAAAACGATTTGAACCTCTTTTTGTCTTTTGGATTCAAATTTCGTTTTACTTTATTATATAAATATATATCCACAGGCGAAGAAGCAAGAGATATCGCGTATGTGAGATAATTGAAGTCTCGAGAAGACAATTGATTTAGGACAAAACTTTCCCAAAAATTCGATTTTATACACCTAATATTTGAACCGCTGGATTTTTTATCCGATTCAGTGATTTTTACTAAAACCGTCTGGATTTTATGGCCCGTTAATGATTCACATGCATAGGCAAGTTAATAGCTGAACTGTCCGGTCTGATCCGATTATGAGAACATTGACATTAAGTGAACACTAGCAGTAGCTCATGTCTAAGGGCACAAAGTAATAAACAAAAAATTCGTAGTTTCAACAGTATAAAAAAAATGAGAATCCAATGAAAAACGTGAATGAGCAAACAAAAGTTTTAGGTTAATTGTATCGGAAGTCCTCAAAGTATGAGGTTTGTCATATTTTGGTCCCTAACATTTCAATTACATTATTCTGGTCCCAAACATATTGAATATATTTCCATATAATTCTTCAAGCAAACAATGTTCAAATTACTAACAATTTTTTATCATAAACTTATTACATAATACTTAAAATATGGACACAAAATAATTTTAACAGCTCTTAACCAAAATTTAGGCAACTCTTGATAAAAAAATGTGTAATATGAGTAGCTTTTAAAAAAGAGTAATACTATTTGGATCTAATAACCTGACCTAATTTACTGACATAATGATATGGCTTCATAGAAATTATTGAATCAACACTAAGTTTCAATGTTTGATGGGGTTTACAGTGAATTCAAATGTCACAGTGAATTAGTTCAGCAAATTATGTCAGTAAATTAGGTCCCAATAACATTGCTCTTTGAAAATAAATTGGATAACTCGTGATCAAAACTGTATAATTTGGGTAGCTATTTAACAAAAAATTGAGTAAAAATTTAGTCAAGAATTGTTCAAATTATTTTTTTGTTAATATTTAAATATCACGTGATAAGTTTATGATAAAAAATTATTAGTAATCTGGACACTGTCTGCTTGAGAAATTATATAGAAACATATTCAATATTTCAATTAACAAAATGATACAATTAAAATATTTGAAACTAAAATGAAACAAACTACATACTTTGGAAACTTCCAATACAATTAACCCAAAGTTTTAATCGGCAATGATGTATGCATGATTTCAATCCAGTGTAACATTCTGAAATTTTATAAAAATGAGAATTATAATTAGGGATTAAATTTTGAGAAGTATTACATTTTTAATTATGTATTCAAAACCAATGATATCATGATAAATTTTGAGGAGTATTTTTCCATTTGCAAAGCCATTCTTCGGGCTTACCTCTCATTCTTTTGCAACAGCGAGAACCGATCTTAGCGAGGAACTCTGGAAACGGATCAAGCGAGCTACAAAATTTTATTGTCGTGACTTCAGGATACTATTGGTTGACGAGTAAGCCTGTCAAAATTTAACACGACAAGATTAACCAACACGAATCGATACGCATTAAACGAATTTGGGTGAGACCTTAACGGGTTCGGATGATAAACGGGTTGACCCGTTTAACACGTTTAATAAATGGGTCGTATTCGGGTGAGATCTGTCAACCCGTTTATAATCCGTTTAAATAAAATTAATATAATAATAAAATAATTATTATTTTAAAAAATTTAACCAGAATTTTTTTTTTTTTAAGGACTGCAACACAGAAAATATATGTTGTCCCAACCCTCAATGAGGAGTAGAGTAAGTTATCCCTTGGTTCTTTCTTTTGGAATATTTTTCTAGTCTTTATTATTTTTTACTTTGCTTAGAATCCATGAGCCGACCTCTAGATAAGAAGGCTATGTTATCCCTACCGAGGCCATTCTTGACGGGGATAAGGTCGCGACTTCGATTGTTGATCTGTTGGAGCAGACTGAGGGAGCTGATGATCCAAGAAGGCCGCTAATGCCGGTAGTCGAGCAGCCAAGTCAGTTGAGGTTATGCTGAAGGAAATGGAACGGGGTAGGAGTTATAAGAACAAGTTTTCGAATTGACTTTTGCTTAGGGTCTGTTTGGTTAACAAAAAAAAGATGATGGAAAGTGAAGTAAAAAAAGAAAAAAAAGTGAAAGAAAATATATTTTCATGCATGTATTTGGTTAGCATGAAAAACTTCTAAGAAAATTTTAAAATAATCTCATTCCATTGTATGAAAAAAGGGATAGTTATAAGAAATTTTTTCTAATTGTTTAAATTATCCTTAAGTACTTTAACTTGGTCTAAAGAAGAAAAATATGTTTTTTATTATTCAAATTTAAAAAAAAATTGGCTCCTAACCTAATTCAGAAACAAAGATCGACTTGAACCTTAATCTCTAGACCAAATTATATAATTAGTCTAATTTATACACATTTTTTTAAAATTAATAACTAATTAAATATTTTAAGAAAAATAAGAGTAAAATGAGAAGTTAAGTTATTGAATACAACTTTCTTGCTTTTTTTTTGTGTTATTTGCAAGGAAAAAAAAGTTAGTTAGATGTAAGAAAATCTAAACATGATAAAAAATCATTTTTTATTTCATGCTAAATAAATGAATGCAAAATTTTAAAATTTTCTCTTTATTGTATTTTCTAATATTTTCTTGCTAAACAAACACACCTTCACAGAAAAAGAGAAAGAAGTGGTGGCAAGGGAAGAGAAAACAGTGCTTACGTTCAAGGAAGGGAAATTTTATGAACGACATGGGCCGGCGTTACTCTGCGGGGTATGAGACTTTCTGTACTCAGGCTACTGCCACGTTTCCTGACATGGACTTTAGCGTGATCCAAAAGGAGGAAGAATGATGTTTATTTTCAAGCTTTTGATATAGTTTTCTATTATCTCTTCGTTATATTATAAAATTGGTAATTAAAATATCAATGTTCCTATCTTAATTCTTATTTTTGTTCTGAATTTAGAGGATTCTGATATGATTCACATTAAAGATTCTGTGATGGTTCACAATGTGATTCTGACTTTGTATCCTACACTCCGAAGATCTGACATAAGGGATCTGTGGTCTCAGGGTCATGCTAATCAATTTCTAATTACTGTAGAGGTATTTAAAATTAAGAAGGGATACTAACCTTGCTTATTGGATCACAAAGATAAGCTTCCCCTTTCTTTGAGTCTTTGTTCCGATGTGTTGTATTGTATGTGTCTCCTAACGTGGTGGTGGGTTGTTTGTGTTGAAGGGGGGGGGGGGGGGGGAGAGAGAGATAAGAGAGAGATAGTGGTGTTATGGTAGGCAAGAGGGTATGTGCGCAATTGTGGGAGGTTAATGGTTTGTGGTGCAGTCAATGGTGAATTTGGGATAAGTTTAATTAAGCTAATTTAGGGGTTATTTTTGTAATTAGGAGGATATTTACTTATTAAGTTAACTAAATAAAATAAGGATTTTAATTAGCTTGATTAATGGATTTAGTTACTCAACTTAAGGAAATAAATGATGTTAATTGCTTTGGTTAATCACATAATTAATGGGATGAGTTAACTTATCTATTGGAATTTTTTTTTTGGGCGTAGGGGTAGGAGTAGGGGGTGGGGGGGGGGGGGGTTTAAGGAGTTTACAAAATTATTGTGGCTTTTGTGCTAGTTTATCTATATTAATTTTATATTTCATCCTTACTTAATATTGTTAAGTTAATCATACCCCATATATCCTTATTAATGTCATTATTTTTCATTCCACATTATATTAAAACTCTTCTTATAACATTAAGTCTCTAGCTATTCGCTCTACTTATAACTTTAAGTTTTTAATTGTAAAATTAATTATCTGACACAAAATTTATTTATTCAATTTAATTACACATATAATCTATATTTTTTATAAGTCTAATAAGAAAATATTATTTAAATTTATTCATGTGCAATGTACATCATGAATTGTTAGTATATTCAAAAGCATAGACCCTTCCTTAGTGGGGGATTGCATAGGTAGTTTATAAATTTAGTGATAAATATATGTTGATGTCATTAAAGTTTGACTATTTTCTAGACAAATTTTAGGGGGGGGGGGGAGGGAGGGGGGCTATGTGTTATATGAGATCAAACCTTGAGGAAGCGCGACGTCCGTTTAATTTAGTGACAAATTTTAGGAGTTCGGGTAGTATCTTCCCAAAATAAAATTGAAGAAAACAAATTAAAAACGGAGAAAACAAGAAAGAGGAAAATAGGAGAAACACAAGAGGCAAAAATTATAATTGGACTTTTTCAACTATGACACTTTTTTACGTTGTCCTCTTAATTATTATATATTTTTATATTTTTTATATTTTATCTTTAATTATGGGATAGTTTAACATTACTCTAATTATTAAAGTTTGTTACATGGTTAAAGAAAAATTATTTTATTTTATCGTTGAACTATATAATTTTTTTTTACTTTGCCCCTCTACACATCAGTAATTTTTATCCAAAAACATGATAGATATTTACAATTGGGACAATATGAAATAATTAAAGTAATTAAAGGAATAAAGTGAAAATTTAATAGTTCAAAAGATAAAATGAAATCAAACACAATTTAAGAGGTCAAAATATAATTTGCCGAAACAAGAGAGTGCAAGTGACGGGGACGAAAAGACAAAAACATCTGGACAGAACACGCGAAAAACAACGATTAATCTACATTTGACTGCAATCCCAAACACTCCTTTAGGCCAACCACCGGTATTCCCATTTCTCAGAATCCACCCGTCTCTGTACTCCTCGGTCTTCCAAATTCCATCCCGCGTCTTCTCTTTCTCTCTCTCACACCCACACAAACACAATTGAATCTGCGTTATACCTCTCTATCTCCGCGAATCAATTGAATTTCGTTCTTTATAGGTTTAGGGTTTGGAATTGTAGTCTTCGTGACTTCGTCGAAGTCTTACAAAAGAACCTGTTGATTCTGCGCGTCGATAATCCTCCTCCTGCTTTACACTCGTGGTCTTGTTATACTGAACAAAACCCAATTTTCATTGAAATGGTTTTATGGGGTTTTATAATTCGAGGTAAAGCTGAGAGTTTTCGTGTTCTTTAGATTTTTATTAAGGCTTTTTTTTTTTTGTGGTAGTGACATGGGGGGTTCTGAGAGTCTAAGTGAGTCTTCACCTCCGCCGCCACAACCCGCGGCAGAGAAGAAGCACGGTGTGACAAAGCCTATATCTCTTGCTGGGCCGACGGAGATGGATCTTCAACGAAACTCGGAATTGGGAAACGTACTCATCTTATAGTGATTGTATTTTTTGGTAGTGAAGTTAATTCGTTTTCCTCATATAAATTTCATTTTTTTGCTGATGATTGGTAGTTTTTGATGAATTCGGGGCTTTATGAGAGTGAGGAAGATACTGCGATGAGAGAAAAGGTGCTTCAGCGGATTGATGAGGTATTTTAGCTTGTTGCTTAGGTCAGGTGATTTTTGGTGGAAAAGGTTAAACTTTAATCACACATTTAGGAAGTGCAAGTTTTACATATGATGTTTACCTGTGTTAATGCTAGTGCATCGTTGACAACCGTTGATTCAATTTTTAACAACCTTTGAGCAACCTTGTGATTTCACTCTTAACCCAGTCGATGGATGTGCTTGCCCTAGTTAAGATATTATGAACGAAAGATGTGACATCTTGATGAGTAGTATGGATTTGTGTCCAAGTAAACCAAAATGTCAGAAAAAAGAAGGAAAAAAAATAGGTCTCTATTTGGGTGGGGAAGCATGGGGCATGTAGCTAAATTTTGAACCTAATGACAAAGCTATGATATTTGAATAATTGACAAATGTTGTTATCTTTAAATAAGACTGTTTAATACACTCACAGATAGAGTAATGTGCTTAGTATATAGTCCTTAATGAATTTGGTAGTGTCCTTAAGGAAGAAGTGGATAAATTTGTAAGATAACACCCGACAAAGAAGGAATACGCCTCTGCTTTATATGTTATTAGAGAATCAGGTGCAAATGACAGCAGTCTTTTAGTATTTGAAGTGTTAAATTTGAGGCCTCAAGGCATGGGCAAGGTTTAAAAATAGGGGTCTTTATGGTTCTGAATAGTCTCCTGAAAGTGGTGGCTAAGAAGTAGAAGCTGCAACTTTATATCAAATCTTAAAGGTTTAACCCACATCTACAATCTCAATCTCAAAGCCCAACAAATGGGTTTTTGAAGTGGTTTTGCTATTTGGCTACGAGGGTGGTGTAGCAGATACTGTAAAACAAAATCATTTGTAGGACACCACAGTTTTCTTTGTTGTTTCCCTCCATTATTAGTTGGATGCAGTAATATAATATGTTTGTTTTGTTTATGATGCCATCCTAGGCAATGTCAATTGTTAAGTATTGGGAAGAGTAAGATGTCAGGAAGCGGGGGTGTCAATTGCAAACTTACTACTTGTGTCCTCCTCTGCCTTTATCTCTTCTTGTTTTTTGTTGTGGCTTGGCTAGTGCCCATTTTTCAATCTGTTGAGGTGGAGAAGGTCCATGTATGGCTAGACGGCCCTGGGTGATTTGCTTGTTCTGCTAATGGATAAGGAATCAGGTATTGAGATCAAGGCCCTCTTATATTGTTTTAGGAGACATAGTGGCTCTAGCAAGCATGTGGAGTAATGTTTGATTGGGACTTCTGAGAGGAATATTGATACAATTCTTGATGGAGATGTTTCGGAAAAGTTTGGGCTGTGTTTCTAAATTTGTTTTTATATCAAGCCTTAGAGGTTTGTAGATGTTTATGGTGGGCTTATCCTCAACTTCGTAGATTCATAACAGATCGTGTTGAAAGTGCTTTTAAGTGGTCTCCATGAAAAAGAAATTGTAGGGTTGCCGGTGTATTGAAGTATAATGCAAGCTGGGGGACTGAATGTTTGATTTTGTTTTAAGGTGTCTTTCATTTGCAAAATGATGAAACAAACAATTGTTTTTTCAGGGTGGTATTGGTTTGGTCAAACCTTGTTTGGGGAATGTCCGAATGTGTGGATACATATTACTTATAAAAAGAAGGAAAAATGGTTGTAAGGGATGGTGTTGAATATGTATTTTGTATGTTTCCTTTTTTGTTTTTGGGGCGTTGGAATAGGTTTTTGATTCATTTTACCTGCTCAGGTTTCGGTTTCTATGTTCCTTGTCTGGAGCTTATTTTGGAAGCTTTTGTTTCCATCAATTCGAGGCCACCAATTTGTGTAGATTACGTCATTGGGCAATATCCTTACTAATTGAGTCACCAGTTTTATTGGGACTCGTACATTGAGGAACAAATGCCTAAGTTGTAAGATTGAGGATTAAGCATGGATTATGGCATGGCTCAGTGTTTCCATGTACTCTCTAACCCTCTACGGTGGCCACAATGCTTACAAAAATAATGCCGGGCATTTATAGCTTGATTGTGAGGTGGATTTCTCAAGATTTGAACTGTGAATGCCCATCAGTTTGTAGTTTTTTAGTTTTTTATTTTTCTCAACTGTCTAATCTGAAAAGAAAAAGAAATTATTCTTCTAATGATTTTATATGTTTGTCTGATTCATGCAGTAATTTACAAAAGTTAGTTTTCTAACTTATGTGGATACACGTTATATTGAAGGGAAAAGGGGAGAGGGGGGGGGGGAATCTTCGGGGTTTGCATGTGTTTAGCGGAACTGCTTGTTGTGTCTTTTTTGGTGAGCTTTGGTCTGATTGTGGTTCCTTGGTAGATTGGCATCTCATCACATCGGCATAGTTTAAGCAGTACATGCAATATTACCACACTATTTTTTTTTGAATTAGTGCCTACAATCCGTGGATGCCACTCCATATTTCTTATTATCAAATAATTTGTAAAGCACATAGGTTTTCCTTGGTGCATGCACACACACACACACATTTGCATATGATGTTATATATGTGCTCCTTATTTTACTTCATACCTGATTTATGATAAGAATTGTATAATTGGAAAGCAATATGCTTAGTAGTGTTCTTCGCTTGATGCAATTTCACTTATGATTTAAATTGCTGTTACCTGTTAATTATCTATTGTAGATTGTAAAATTCTGGGTGAAGCAATTAACCCGCAAAAGAGGTTACACGGATCAAATGGTGGAAGATGCAAATGCTGTCATATTTACATTTGGGTCTTATCGGCTAGGGGTAAGTGAGAATTTTGGAGTACTTTTTTAGGGGTGTACATGCATTACCAAAATTGTTCACAAGATGGGTAGCTGACATTCTCTCCATAATTACTGAGACTAGGGCTGCAAATGGGCTGAGCCAAACTGAGTTTTTAGTATTTCGAGCTCAGCTTGGCCATTGTTAAGGCTCTTGTCGCCATGAGGTTGATTTGAGCTTGAGTTAATCTTAGATCTTGTGCTCTAGCTTGACTGGCTGGCCATTTGGCAGGGTCACAGTTCTGCTCATCTTGTCTATGAATTTATCATACACTGAATTCGTCAAATGTAAGAGTCTCGCCACCTATGCATCAATCCATCATTCCATAGCAAAAAGTCTGACAACCAAGTTCAATAAAAGTTACATGCTGTGTTCCTGCTGTTTGCGTGCCTAATGAGCGGTGCTTGAGTTGGTCACACACTGCTTGTTTAAGAAATAGAAGTTTATTTGTTGTTAGTCTATTCTGGAGCCGAGCTTGAGCTGGCCATGAAACAGCTCGGTCTGTTTGCAGCTATAACTGAGACTACTCAGCTCCTCCCTTGTCTCAGATTTGTGGAAGGCCCCACTGTATATTGCTGATGGTTTTGAAAAAACTTAGAAAACATGATCACCAGCTGTTAACTTGTTTGGTAGCTTCTGCTGCCCTCAAGAGGAGAGGTTTAGGATTCAAGTTTGGGTGAAAAGGGGATACTAGATTTTATCCACATGTAGTATTTATACATTCTGCTTAAACATGAACTAATTCAAAGTAGAGAGATCCAAGTAACATATGAGACAAACTGTTGAAGAATTCTATTACCTGGTTGAAATATTATCTTGGCATCCTAAGATGGAAACAGCCACACATCTTGTTTTGGTTTGGATGCTCACATACTTTCAACCATGATCACCAAATTAGACTAGTCAAGTTACAACTGATGTATTGATTATGGAGTAATTATCGATATTTTGACGCATGATAGGTCATATAATTATATAATCCACAAGTGTGTCTCTATAATGTGGATTCAAACACTAAATGGAGAAGCAGAACTCATACATGTTACTTGGATCGTGAGTTGCTTTGGTACGTGGTACAGGTACGGGTATGTAGTACGACACTGTTTTAGGTCTGTGATACGATGGGGGTAGGTTTTGTTAGTACTGTGTTTTAAGTCACAATTCGTTTTGAAACTCTTATTTAGATCGTTTTCATTATATCTAATATTACAAATTAAGAAATTGAATTTTCAACTTATAAAAGTGCAACAATGGTTAAAATTGATTAAATTTTTATCTATTTTGATCAAATAGTATAAAATTCATCTCAAAATTTTTTTCTCGCTCAAAAACATTATTTCCATTACACGACCTCCAATGCCAGACAACCCTACCAATTCACACATATACCTCTCTTTTTTCTCCCCTACCTCTTTCTTATTTTATTTTTGTTTATTTAATTTGAAATTACGTGATTAAAGAGAATTTTTTTTAAATGTTGTATGATTAATGTTCAATTTTTGGTAGTATAAAGTGTCTTCAGACACATGATTATTGCTAGTTATACAACATTATATGTTATAAAACATTCATTAACATTAAGTCAGTTACCATTTATTTTATATTTTTACTCAATTTTCTATTATTTAAAACAATATACAATTATAAATTTATAAACACGTAGTCAATTAATATGTATTTTACATTTGTACTACATGTTTCAAAGCGAATTGAATTGGAGTTAGTATTATGATTTGGGGTTGTATATTTTAGTGATCTGAATCGTGAACCCATCCAGTTTTGGATCGATGTATCTAGATCGTGGTTCTTTAGGGGTTTAGTGAATTCTGGTAACTATGAGCCAAACAACATCCCAAAATTGCCTTTCCATTTTTGGAAAACTATTGTGCCTTGTATTACAGGTGGTGTTTGAATTTCTTGTGTGATCAAATGAATTTCGTCTCAGGACTCGATGTAGCACAGATTATGTTGTTTACAGGTACATGGTCCTGGAGCTGATATGGACACTCTGTGTGTTGGGCCATCATATGTGAATCGAGAGGTGAGTAACAAACTTTTGGATAATTTTTTTTACCTGGTTATTTCAGGAGTGTTTTGTTCAAAATTCTTCAACTCTCTGTTTTCCAGGAAGATTTTTTTATTGTTTTGCATGATATTTTGGCTGAAATGGAAGAAGTTACTGAACTTCAACCAGTTCCAGATGCTTATGTGCCAGTAATGAAATTCAAGTTCCAGAGTATATCCATTGATCTCCTTTATGCGAGCATATCACTTTTGGTTGTTCCACAAGTAAGTTTGAAACAGTTCTTGAAGTTTGTACTATTTCCTTTTTCCGAATTCCTATATGTGATAATACATATATTATGTGCTTTGGAAATGTGATTTGGAAAGCATAGATTATTTATTTTTACATTGCTCTCTTGCATTGTTCTTGTGGAATAAATTTTTTACATTGGCGGGTTTGTGTTGGGTGGTTCCTGAGTCACCCATTTCTTTGTTTGTTGAAGACTTAAAGGTTTTGGGAGAATTGATAAAGACATCACTCTTTGGGATTGTGCAATAATGGCTACTTTATAGGTTATACGAAAGGAAAGTAACGCAAGAATCTTTGAAGATAGTGTTGAGTGCTCGGAAGGATTATGGGACCATAATCATTTTCTAGCATCATTTGATCATTTTGGGCTTCAGTTTCTAAGGACTTTAAAGGAATTCCGCTTTTTGCTATTTTAGTGGGATGGAGAGCCTCTTGTGATTTATAGGGCTTTTGTGCGATGTGATCTAGTTCTTATTTCGCTTTATTTTTCTACTTTTTGGTTGGATTTCTTATCCAACCCTTTTTGATATAATTTTTGATATTTTTAATCTTTTTTAATGCAAATGTTCTGTTTCCCATAAAAAATAAAAGACACATATTACACCTGTTAATGTTCGTCCTAAATAAGATTTCGAATTAAGTAATTTTTGGGCAATTATTTGTGAAAACTATGTTGCTATCCCTTTCTCTATTAGCTGGGCCTTTTGGTGTTTTGTTATGTATCTTGGACGAGTCAGAACACTTACAGTTGAAATTCTGTTGTGTAATTTTAGCACCAGTTATGACCTCATGTTCGTTGTTTGTGTTTTGTGCCATTCCCTCTCAGTTCCCTTCTTTGTACTCGTTTATGTCTCGAGTTTGGCGGTTCTTAGGTTGATATGAGTCTCATTCCCCCCTTTTGAAGCATATCTTTGGCAAAATCATGCTTTGTTGGTTTTTAAATACCTGTCTCTGCCATTGAGATATTTATTTTTTGGAAATTATTTTTTTATCATTTGTACTGCCTTAAGGAAATATGTAAGTATATTGCCATCACCAAGGCATCTCTAAGTGCTCAAGGCACCTGTCTTATGATGGTGGGTTACATACCTGTTCATATCACATGCCCTGTTCTAGTACTTTGTACTTTTGAACTGGCGCCGTGGTCATGTTTGATGAATATGGCAATGATCATCGGGTTGATTTTGAGTAGTACTGTTAAACGATCTGCTCTACTCGAGTTCAACTCCGCTCTTTTTAGCTCGTTCAAGTTCATTCATTCTGTAAAATGAGTGGAATATGAATTTTTTAGGATCGTTTAAAGTACAAGCCGAGCCCGAGCAAGTTCATTGGGCTCATTATACTATTCATGACTTTTATTTAATATTTTTCATTGCTACTTGGTATACATGGAGTGATGGAAATAGTAAGAATTCCTAGGGTATAATGGGTAAAACTGTCAAACCCAATGAAATGAATATCACATGGTGTCTGACCCAATTTAGGACTCTCTCTACCTTGAGCCAATAACCGAGTCCCTCATTACTATCATGCACACTTCCCTATTCTTAGTCCACCTCCTTCATCGGCATGGTTTTCTATCCATTTCAATGTTCTCTTTCCTTCCTCTCTGTTTTAGATGCTGGAGACTCCTCTTCCCTTACCCATATAAGCTGGGGCAGCCATCTCATTGAAGGTCGTCCTGTGTATACACTTGTAATAGATGGATATGGTGTATTCTATTTATGAGTTTTGCTTCTATTTTGAATTTTTTGGTGTTACGGTTCAAGATTTGGATTTGTGTGTAACTTGTGAGAATTTATGAACTTTGATTTGAGATATGTGAAGTTTTTCAATTTCCATTTGAGATTTGTGATTTGGGACTTTTGGATTTGAGATTTGTGAAGTGTGGCTTTGAGGTTTAGTCTCTGGGCTTGGTTTTGGCTCGAGCTCGGTGCGAGCTTGTGTTGTGCTTAGCTTGAAGAAAAATTTGGGCTCGGTATTTGAGCTCAAGTCAAGCTTGAGGAACTATTCCACAACTCGAGCCGAGCTTGACCATACGGGAGCTTGGAAATTTTATGTTTTGTAATTTTGTGCTATGGTGAGATCCATCATGGATTATGTTGGATGTATAATATTAGTTCAGATTACCACCTGCATATGTCCTACTTTTCTTGGACCTTTGAATTACACATTAAATGTGAAATGCTAACGGTCTACTTTGTTTATTCTTCTTTTAAAATTTTACTTTTCTTTATTGATGTCTTATCTTGGGGTATCTCTTTTTGAGTCTTGTTTCTCTTCCCATTTTCGTCTCTGCTTCACATTTTTTTTTCATGAACTTGAATGGCAGTGGTTGGAAGGTTAATGTCTAAGCTTCTATGATGGTTTTTGGAGATACTGTCTTTGAAGTTTGAAGGTTCTATATTCGATTAGCTACTGTTTTTTTCTTAAAATTTTACCTTGAAATACTTATTTTTATGCTGATTGGTGTTGGTGATTAAGCTTTATAATCTTATGTTGGCACTTTTTCTCTTGGCTCCTGCATTTATAGAAGAAGGCCCTTCCCAGTCTCCCTTTTTACATGATTTTTATTAAATTCAAAGTTTTATGTTTTCCTTATCTTTGAGAAGGGGAAGAGAGAGTATGTTGTCTCATCCTAGTCTAGCTGGCAATTTCATGGGAAAAAAAGAATTATAATACTGCTCTCTAGTTTCTATGGAATATGACTTTAAAAAATTGATGGAAGAACTGTTGAGATTGAAACTGTGCTTGCTTCTGGCACATACTGATAATGTTCATATAGGACATTTTGCATCAGCTATGGTTGGTGTATCCGAACACTTCTTAGATGGCTGATATGCTTGTGCTAAAAATTTGGCATCTTATGGTGGCTGAGAATTCATTGATTCAGCGTTTTCATCTGCGGCTTCTTATACGAGTTTCATTGTCATTATTATTGTGGAACAATTGTGTGAACAGGACTTGGACATCTCACATGATTCTGTGCTGTACAATGTTGATGAGCAAACTGTTCGAAGTCTTAATGGATGCAGGGTTGCAGATCAAATACTTAAACTAGTTCCGAATGTTGAGGTGAATATACAATATCCTTTTGTTTTTGGCAATGTATTTGGATTTGCATTTTTTAATTCTTCTAAAAAAATGTAGCACTTCTGTACGACGCTTAAATGTCTGAAGTTTTGGGCTAAAAGGCGTGGTGTTTATTCAAATGTAAGATAACATCCCTTACTTTTCTTTGGTTTGTTGTGTGTTGGTCCTCTCATTTTAATATAATAAAGGGAATTTTCATCAAGATTATGAGTTTTGATTTTTTTTTTTTGTGTTCCTGCATATATAGGTTACAGGATTTCTTGGTGGTGTAAATTGGGCTCTTTTAGTTGCTCGGGTATGCCAGCTTTATCCCAAAGCGATTCCTAGTATGCTGCTTTCACGTTTTTTTAGAGTTTATACGCAATGGCGTTGGCCAAATCCTGTGATGCTGTGCCCCATAGTAGAGGATGAACTAGGGTTTCCTGTGTGGGATCCCCGTAAGAACCCTTGGGACCGTAGTCATCATATGCCAATCATCACTCCTGCATATCCTTGCATGAACTCCAGTTACAATGTCTCAACAAGTACTCTCCGGGTTATGGTAGACCAGTTCCAATTTGGTAACAAAATCTGTGGGGTAAGACTTTAAGGGCTAACTTGTACTCTTGCTCTTCTCAAGGTATCTTTGTTCGATTCATAATGCCTTGGACGTCTATTTCTCTCTCCATGCAGGATGTTGAATTGAACAGAGTGCATTGGAGAGCTCTGTTCGAGCCTTATCTTTTCTTTGAGGCATACAGAAACTATCTGCAGGTCGACATTGTTGCAGCAGATGATGATGATTTGCTTGCTTGGAAAGGTTGGATCGAATCCCGGTTTAGACAACTTACTTTGAAGGTACAAAGTAGACTGTTTGGGTAGTTTGAGAACAGATAATTTATTGATGATTAGTTTCAAGCATAAAAGGATAAAAGACAGTTTTTTTCTTCCGTTGGTACAAAGTAGACCATCTGGGTAGTTTGAGAACAGATAATTTATTTATGATTAATTTCAAGCATAAAATGATAAAAGACAGTTTTTTTTTCTTCCGTTTTTTATTTTTGAAAATTTTGCTTCTAATTTGCATTTTGCAGATAGAGCGTGATACATGTGGGATGTTGCAGTGCCATCCTTATCCAAATGAGTATATAGACACGTCCAAGCCGTGTCCACATTGTGCTTTCTTTATGGGATTGCAGAGGAAAGAGGGAGTCAAAGTTCAAGAAGGGCAGCAATTTGATATACGTGGTACTGTTGATGAGTTTAAGCAAGAGGTAAATATGTACATGCTTTGGAAACCGGGGATGGAGATATATGTTTCTCATGTTCGAAGGAAGCAAATTCCTGCATATGTTTTTCCCGATGGGTATCAACGGCCAAGAACATCAAAGCACTCAACCCATCATGCTGATAAAACTTCTGAGAATGATGCCAAAGGCTACAGATCTCCATCTGAAGGAAGGGAGATCAAGAGGAAACAGGGTGATGAAACGGCCTATGTGAAGCTAGACAAACCAGGGAAGCGGGCCTCTATAAGCCCACAACACCCAGGATCTGTTTCTCCTGAAAGGTCTTCTGGAGGGCCATTGGGGAGTGGGAAAGGGACCATGGGAAATGATGTGCGATTGGGGGAACTTGATGATTGTAATCCTAGTAGTACAATTGTAAGGAAGTTTTTAAATGCCTCTACTTTGAAGGGGGGAACAAAAGAGTTGGAGGCAAAAGAACTTGCGGCAAAAACCTATCCCACGCAGGAGTTGCTTGTTGAATGTGGGGTAATGTGTGGTAAGACTGTGGAAGCATGCCTTATTGGACCAAATGAGGACATAGAGGGAATGCTGAAGCAGATAGACAGTGTTGTTCAGGATAATAAACAGATTGTTGAACCGAGCGGCAAAAGTGTAGTGGGATCTGATTCCAGAACTCCAAATCTCATATGCAAGGTGAGTTTATTCCCTTGAGGATTTTGGGTTAAGAAATGTAGCAGAAGGCAGTGAGAAAACTGGAAATTTTGAAGATAGTGAGAGCAAAGGATACTTGCAGGATGGTGTAGGTGTTGCAGATCAACATTCACCATTGGGAAATGGATGTTTGAGTGGAAGCGGAGTTTCAGGAAAGGGCCTGGGAGAAAAATTAGAGGTTGTGTACCTCAACCTTTGTTGTCTTTTGTACCACTCTATTTTTCTATACCATGTATATTATGAGGGTAAGTTGCACTAGTGATCCCGAAGTTTGCCATTAGTCACTCATTAGTCTTTAAGGTTTCAATTTTGTCAATTTAATCACTAAAGTTTACATGCTGAAGAAATGTGGTCCAGGGCACTGCCTACCTTAATCAGAAGCGGAAAAACATCACTTGCTGGCATGTGACTGCTATTAAGGGTATTTCTGTCGGTGTGGCTGCAAGACAAAGGGTATTAACCTATATACACAATATATATCATAAAATCTCTCTTCTAATGTTGACCCTCTCACTGTCTGATCCATCCCCTTCTCACTTCTTTCTTACTCTACAAATGAGGAATCAGAATTTGGTTTGTGGCTGGGTGTATTTTGTGCAGAGAGAAGGGTAGAATTAGAGGGAGAAAGAACCAGTGTGTATGTCATTTAGGGTTCAATTTCTGGCAGTGGTGGTGGTATGATCGGGTTGGTTTGGTGACAGAGGTGATGGTGATGGTGGTTTCACTGGGATAGTGCTGGTTGGTGGTTGGTGACTGGTGACTGCGGTGAGAGGGAGAGAGACTGGATTCTGTGTAGAGAGATAAAATTGAGTAGAGAGAAACAGATGTGCTCTAGCAGTGAAAGAATGGCATGGAGATAGAAATATACGCGTTCTATGCAAAGAGAGACGGAGAACATTGGGGGGAGCGATAGAGAGAGAAAGAGATAGTGCTTGTGTTATTAGATTCAATTTTGGCAGCGGTGGTGGTTTGACTAGGGTAGGGGTGGTGGTTTGGTGATAGAGGTGGGCTTGGTGAATGTGGTGTTTGAGAGAGAGAGAGAGAATAGGTGAGAGAGAGAACAAGAGATGTGTGCAAGTGCTTTTGAGAATGTGTTGTGTGGGAGAGCGAAGAAGTGTGTTTGGACCATGTATAATGATCAAATCAGGAATAAGCATGTTTGTATGAAGTGAGTAATGAAAAATGACAAATACATTGGCCCTGCTCGGACCCAATAGTAGCTGTAATCTTGTGCACCAAGATGTCCTTATTCTGCCTCTAATAGGAACACGCATGCCATGTTTCCATCTAGTTTAAATGACTGTTACTGCATGAGATCACATTGCTTCAGTGCGTGAAGTTTGGAGACTGAAATTGAGAAAATTGGAAATTTGAGTAACAAAGACCGAGTAGTGGCAAGCCTTGGGGACCAGTAGTGTAATTTAGTACTGTTTGTTGTTTTTATACAGATGAATGCTATTTTGGAACTTGTTCGAAAAATTCTTGATTTCAATATTTTGGATTTTGTAAGTATGTCAAGCGTTGTTCGTGGTTTTCAAGTAGTAATACTAGGACCCAATGACCCATGGGTCAGTTTTGTTAAAGGATCTTATGATTTGAAGATCGAGAATATCATATGAATTTGGGACATCATCTCATATTACTCGAGCATGATGATTTCTTTTGTTTAACATTATTGTTCCTCTGTCAATCAGATTTTTAATTTTCCCTTGATCAATTTAATTGTTTGCACAGAAGATCTCCTAACTGGTGCATACATGGTGGTTGGTCCTGCACCACTATCCGTGGTACATTCCCAGTTACTGTGCTCAAGAACCTGACCATGTTTTGTATCTGAGGCTTGGAATCATTAATCGTCACTTTGTGTATTCCCTCTAATATTTTTATGGGTACAAACTTAACCCCCAGTTTTCTATCTGATTTTTTTTTCTAGATAAATAGTACGTTCGGGATGGTAATGGATGCAGAAGCCGGTGATTAGGCATGTTTTCTTTAAACCGTAAGTGCCCATGATTTGTTTCATGATATCTTTAGACTGTCTTGTTTGGTTGTTTGTGTGGCTCTTTTATTGCAGGTTTGAAATATGGGAGGTGAAATATTCAATGGGATCAATGTTTTTGAAGGATTTGAGGCAGGCTCTGTTGGTGGGTGTCTTGTGAATTACCATCGTGTCTTGTTGTTCAGGGGTGGCAGTTTATCTTGTGGAGTGGGAGCGGGGAGGCAGCGATATAGACTTGTGCATCACTGTGCCATTTTGGTGTTCTGGAGGTGTTCTATGCATTGCAGTCGAAGCTTGCAAGCATTTGCAAATAGCCATCAGATGAGACCTTCAGAACTTAACGGATTTGGTGGCAGGCTGAGCTATTTCCTACTAGTATGAAATTTTCTGCTGCTTTTCTTTTTAGCAGTATTTGAAAAAAAATGGGAGAAGAAAACATAAACTGCGCAGACATGAATATTTTGTCTGTGTGGTTTGAGTTGTAAGAGATGGCAACTTCATCTCTTTTAGGCTTTAGACCTCTGTTAAACCTTTGTATTCTGTACACTTTCCAGTAGCTAGCCCCTTTGTCTCTCTCTCTCTCTCTCTGAACTCGTTGCTGTCTCAGGCTGGCTTTTTGCTAAGACTCCCATTCCTGTTTTTCCTTTCATGCTACGTTTTTAGGCAATTGGTAAAAATGCCATCCAGTGAAGAACTCTTTTGTTAGATATATGCTTGTAATTGATTAATTTCGTGAAATTTATTATAAATTTTAACCTATTATATGGTTATGATGCTATAAAAATTGAATATTCAAAAGTGTCATTGAGGGGACGAGGTCAAGTGATAAAGTTACATTATTCACACTCTTGGAAAGACGTCTTTAAACGGAGCAATTATAACATAAAAGAAAGTTATTTATGAAGGCCCGGATTGTTTCATGCTTGAAACTAATTTGCAATTTAACTCTTAAAAAAAAATGGGGGAAAATTTCACTATCCCCTGTAAGATAACAAAATTCTTGGAGTGCACCAAGAAAGATTAATTATTTCAAATTGCACGTTCAAATTTGTAAAAATGTTACAATTTGATCCATCACCTTATTTTTGTTTGGACGTCTCTTTACAAACGAAACATTGATTATATGAAAGGGTTTTATTGTCACATTACAATTTACACCCATTGGACTTGAGATTTATCATCTTCGTTGAATAAAAACCCTAAATCACTTGTGACTTGGGGGAGAAGATCTTGATCTTCTCTTTCATCTTGATTATAAAACCCTTGCATATAATCACGTGTTTCTCACGTGATCACAATATAGATGAATGCTTAAGCGAAAATAAATTGGTGGACCAAATTATATCTTTTTTACTTCTTTGAGGGTGCAATTTGGGATAATTAATCTTTTGGTATGCAATCTAAGAATTTTGTTATCTTTTAGGGGGGCAAAGTGAGATTTTCCCTAAAACAGATATTGTGTAAAATGAATGACGATGGATTCTATTATTTCATTCGGGTACCATAAAAGTAACTCAGATATTACATTTCTTTTATAAGGTAAAGCCTTCACAGCGCAGGGTGGACTCGATTTCTTCGAGCTTGCACAAGTTATTTTTGGCCTTGCATTTGCAGATCAACACCATGGCTTCATGACTAGCCAGAACATCACACGAGGCGAATCAAATTATCGTCATCTCCATGTGAGACCTTACTAGTACGCCTGTAGCTGTATAGATACTTATCACCATCACCGCTGAGGAGTGGAGCAACATCGTACTCGTGTCCCGCCTTTTTCCCTTCATCACCCTCCACAAGATTGCAACGATGAAGAATCTGCAAAACTTCCTTCATGGAAGGCCTATTAGATGACAATGTGCTAGTACAAATGAGACCCAGTTTGAAAACAGTGGTCATTTCTTCTAAGTGACGTGGTTCCTTGATCTCCTCATCTAATGCATCAGTTGTGAGCTTGTCCTCTCCATAGTGCTTCCATGCCCATTCTGCTAGGCTTGTGTGCTCATCTCCATCATTGGCTTCCCTTCCAGTCACTAGTTCCAAGAGCACAACTCCAAAGCTGTAGACATCTATCTTCTCATTCACTTTTGTTGTGTAAGCATACTCTGTAACCAATGAAATGGATGAAGATTTTTCATTAGAGATGAAATAAAGCATGATTGAGTCGTGTATAGATCGTCTTATTTGGGTTTCGTACCTTTCATAAATAATGTTAGATGTTGTGATACCAAGCCAGTCTACTTATTCATACACTACCTTATCAAAAAAGGAAAAAAAAAAAAATTTCTTCTAGGTAAATGAAAATGTAGAGTTTGAGTTACAAGTCCAGTTATTTTGAAGTATGTATAGAGAATAAGTCAATCCTAGCAGTTGGTTCGTGTCGATGGTGCAGGAAGAAGAGTCTATCTTTTGGGGTTAGTTCATGAGTGAGATTAGTCGACATGCGCATAAACTGATCGAGATATCCGAACTGTTCAAACAAAAAACAGAAGAAGAAGAGTCTGTAATGAAAATGTGGTCTTACCTGGAGCAAGATAACCAAAGGAGCCAGCAATGGCAGACATGGTGTTAGGCTCGCCCTGCTTCACCAAAATCTTGGCCAAACCAAAATCAGCAATTCTCGCCTTGAACTCCGAATCCAACAGTATGTTGCTAGACTTCACGTCTCGATGAATGATTGGAGGAAAGCAGTCATGGTGCATATAAGCAAGCCCTTGTGCAGCTCCGATGGCAATTCGCAGCCTCGTCGGCCAATCCAAAGCAACACGATGGTCGGAACTATTCACCAGCGACGACATCTTCCTCTTCTTCCCATGTAGCCACCGGTCGAGACTCTGATTTTCCATGAATTCATACACTAGAAGCTTTGAATCTTCACTCGAAATGCAGCACATCAATTTCACTATGTTCGAGTGTCGAATCGTACCTAGAATTTCAATTTCTGCTAGAAATTCTTTCTCTAGGGTGTGATCCAGTTTTCTGTTGCTCCAAATCCTCTTAACAGCGACGTATTCGCCGGATCGGTTGACGGAAATTCGATATACCTTGCCGGATCCGCCACTTCCGATCATGTTATTCTCTGTCAAACTTGATAAAATGTTCACCTCCGTGAAATCCAATCTTTGGAACGAGGTTAATTTCCAAGTCGCGATGTCTCGTCTGTGTTTCTTCCTCCGGTAGTCTCTGATCACGAAGAATGTGAAGTAAATGGTGACTATGAATACAACCACTGCAAGGACTAAAATCATGGCGAGAATTTTCGAGGACAAATGGTCCGAGTCGCGGATTTTAGCATAACAATTTGGAAGATTTGAAATTGAATTGGTGGCACAGAGATTGGGATTGTTCGAGAAACTGTTTTCATAGGCCATGTTATCGAATTCATTTGGGATTTTCCCGGAAAGTTGATTGGAGGACAAGTTGAGAGTTGTTAGTCTCAAATGGCCTAATTCAGGTGGGATTTGACCGGAAAATTGGTTTTGGGATAGGTCGAGGTCGAGAAGGTCGGGTAAAGAACCGATCTCCGGCGGAATTGGGCCGGAGAGTTTGTTTCTAGCCAAGTTCAGAGTAGTTAGCGATTGCCAAGAAATGATTTCCGATGGAAGTGAACTGGAAAGTGAATTACCATCAAACATGAGAGTGATAAGCTGAGAAAGACTGGTCAGTTCCACCGGAATCGAACCCGAAAACAGATTGTTGCTGGCCTTCAATACCATCAGACTCGTCCAAGAAGATACGCCAGTCGGAATTTGACCTGAAAAATTGTTGTTACTGAGCTCCAATCTCGACAAATTCCATGCTACTTTGCTCGGAAGTTCGCCGGAAAACGAGTTATGACTCAGCATTAAGCTTGTCAAATTCAGCGATGTCCAAACGCCGGAAGGAACGTCGCCGAAAAAATTGTTGTTATAGAGCTGAACTGTGCGGAGACTATCACAATTGCCAAGTGATTTTGGAACTTCTCCGGTGAGGTTATTGGAGAAAGCAACTAAACCAAACAAAGTCCCTCCGGCGCATATGTTTGCCGGTAATTGTCCGGTGAACCCATTTTCGGAGACCTCAAATGCTTCAAGCTTCGAATGAAGGCCTAATTCAGCTGGTAAGTCTCCACTCAGTTTATTTCTGAAAACCCGAAAGTTTTTCAGGGTTGGAATTAGGCCTATATTTGGTGGGATTTGCCCAAAAAACTGATTTGAAAATAGATTCAAAAGCTCCAATTGCTGTAACTTTCCGATTGCCTCCGGTATTGTTCCTGTCAAATTGTTCATTGAAATATCAATCTGGGTCAAATTCAGTGACTCGATCACTGACGGAATTTCACCAGTCAATCTGTTACTGTACAAAATTACAATACTTAGATTCTTCAGCAGGAACAACCCACTTGGAATTCTTCCCTGCAAGTTGTTCATAGACAGATCCAAGTGCTCAAGACTCGTAAGATTCACCAAACTTTCCGGTATAGCGCCCACCAAATTCGTCGCCGCCATCCACATATACGTCAATTTCTTCATCTTTCCGAACGCCGGCGGTATTTCCATGGGTATAAACTCATTATAAGCCATACCCAGTTCTTCAAGATTGGATAAATTTCCGATTTCCTCCGGAAAAGTGCCATTCAACAAGTTTTGGAACAAGTACAGAGTCTGCAACTCCGGCAAATTCCCGATCGTCGGTGGGACGTTACCGGTGAAGTTGTTGGCGCCTAGATTCAGGTACTGAAGAGCTGGGAGCCGGTCAATATCAGCCGGAATAGGACCCACAAAGTAGTTCTGAGAGAGGTCCAAGTGTTGAAGCTTTGAGCAACTGTACAGAACTGTAGGGAAGTTTCCGGGAATGTAATTGAGGCTGAGGTCGAGGAAAGAGAGGTTTTCGAGGTCACAGATGGACTTTGGGATTTTTCCGTTGATGTTTTTTTCTGGGAGGATTATTCTGGTGACCGTGCCGTTGCCGGAACATCGAATCTCCGGCCAAATGCACGGTGAGGATGTGGAGTTCCATGACTGGATCAATGGTGGGTTACCCCACTGCTCTTTAAGGTTCAGTAGGATTGTCCGTTCGGCGGTGGAAAATTGGGAATTTACATTTGAGGGTAGGAGACCGAGAAGAAGAGGAAGAAAAAGGAGAGTGGTTTTTGGAAAAGGTGGGGTCATTTTGGTTATTTCATAAAGTTCAGGTCACCGGAGTTACGAAGGAGAGAGAAACGGGGTGTTTATTTCCCGGGAAAATGGTGGGGGTAAAACTAACAGATGTTTTTTGAATTTCCGGTGAGGTTCTCGGGCCGGTGTTTGGTTTATAATAAGTTGTGGGCATGAAAGGAACTTGGCAGCGGGTGAATTTACGATTTTACCACTGAAAAGGACGTGGATTGTGTGTAGTCAAAGGTGAGTTTTAGTCTTATACGGTTGAGACGTGTGTTTTCGTGATATCAGTGGATCCCACTACTAAAACCTTGAATTGAATCTCATGGGCAAATGGGCAAATGAGGACACTTTCATCCAAAATGAATATCATGCAAAGCATTTCTTCAAAATCTTTTTTATTTTTTGCAAAAATATAACTTCATCATAAAAAACTAAAATCCCCAAATAATAAAAAAACATATACAAAAATTGCCATGTAAATAAGACAGTCAGGGAGATTAGCAGTTGACTTAATAACTACCATTCTGTTATTAAATTTTAAAATCATTAACCCTTTTTCTTGAAATAGTGCTCCACAAAAATAAGATGGTCATGTATGTTCATATGTATTATATATTTAACTTGAAATAAAAGAATAAATCAAGATAAAAAAAAAAAAGTAAAAAGTGAACATGCAAGAACAAACGTTATTTAGAGAATAAAATTTAATTTAATTGATAAAATCAATTTCTTTCCAATTTGTTTGTTGGGTTAGTTTTCTTAAGTGTAGTTGTTGAGAACTGATGCATGTGAACGTGAGTCCCTGAGGCTATCCCACATTGAATAGGCTTTGGGTGTGTGAGTAATATATAATGTCTTCATTGACCTTTATTATGTTAGAGTAACTGTTTAGTGTTTGATTAAAAAAATAAAAAATTTGTCTTGAAGTGTTTGGTGGTTGGGCTCGACTTCCCTCCTCCTCTTTGATACAGGTGTCTTTGGGGCCATGGTAATGGTAATAGTGTCTGGGTGGTGGGGGCTGAAGCTATCCCACATCGGATAACTTTTGGGCGTGTGAGTAATACATAATCTTTATTAGAATAAGTGGTTAGCGTTTAATCAAAAAAAAAAAAACGTGAGTCCCTAAAAACTAATCTCAGGGATTGTCAACTGTTCAAGAGAGCTCATTTTAGACGATTGAAACTCTTGAGTTTGAAAATAAATATTTAATGTAACGATTACATTATAGTATTTTATTTCGATAATTGGCGGGTATACATCGAACAAGAGAATGTATAAGTTCGAGATAATTAAATTTGATACTTTAAGAGACAAAATGCTGATATTTTACCTAATGGAGCAATATTAGTTTGGATTTACGATATTCAAATTTAAGAGTATAACGATGGCTTTCAGGCAAATTACTAACCTCGATCTTTTTTTTTTTTTGTTTTCTCAGACTAAAAATGGCATGAATTTTAAAAAAAAACAAAGGAAAGCGAAAGAAGTTGACCAATCGGCAGATTCACCGAACGTCACTGCATTCCGTTTGGGATTGTTAGGACTTGGGCGTTTGTGGGCCTGCCGTTCTAGAAGCTAATCTCCTAATCAGCCTCGTGCTTATTGTAGGAAGCTCAGTATCTTTTACCGTCCTTCGGATTTTTTTTTTTTTAATTACAAAAAACTCTTCAACTGCGACTGGCATGCAATAATTTTTTATTTTTTTTATACTATGGTTAGAGTGTCAAGGTTAATTTATACACGTCTCGATTAATTCTTGCCTGATCGGGTTAAATACATATAATTTACGCTGAAATTAAGAGATTTATGAGAGATAAATATCTCATAGTCTAATCTTAAAAAAATTGCCAAATTTCAAATATAAGAAGTTTGAATTTATAACTCATCTTTATCTCTACTGAACAACACTTGGGGTTTTACGTAATAATGCTTCACAAAAAAAGAATAAGATATAAATAAAAATAGAACGAACTAGAAAATTAAATGAAATGTACATCACTATTTACATATTTGACAACAATTAGGACTAAGTGTTGTAATAGAATTGTGATGAGACTTTTTTGAAATACTCCATGATGAAGACACGTGTCCTCGGTATTACCAAAACACTGTTGCTAAGATCAAGCACCATCGGCGCATAAAGGTCCTCGCCCCCGAGGTACTCATCATATAGGATCATGGCATTCAGTACGTTTTACAACCAACACGTAGCCTCGGTCTGATATGGTACCTCGGTCGGTATCCCTCCCTGGTTCCGAGATGAGCCTTTCCTCGGTGCCGAGGTGTACCCCGTCCTGGATGCCTCCTCTACTCCAGGATAAGCTATTGACGTACAGGTCATTAGCCTAGGCTAGTCTAGGCTATTCATCATGACCTCGTCTTACACAATTAGTGTCAGAACGTACTGGAATGCAGGGGCCACAGCCAATGGGGGATGGACGCGTGGCGTATGATATCACATCGAAGACAGAGAAACCGCATGCCGTTGCTGACACGCGACTTGGAAAGCAAACGATTAATTACACCATTCCCTTGATGAGACCGCATTCAATGCGGTAAGGCTCGGAAATGAAAGACAATAAATGCTCCTAATACAGAGCATTTATTGCATCCTCCCCGAGAGGAGTACATTGTACCGTCGGCATCCCGATGACCCAGCATTGATTGCTCGGGACCCCGAGCAGTTAAGAAGAGAAGACATTCCTCATCAGAATCAGTGCGCACACTGCCTGTACCTAATGATCACCTACTGACTACACTGACAGCAATCATGAGCTTTTGAGGTATAAATACTCCTTGCAAAAGGCAAGACGGGTATGCAACAAAAAACTCTTTACTACAATACACACTCAGTGTTTTCTCCTTCCTCTCTCTTTCTCAAAGACTGACTAGATCGTCGGAGGGGATACGCCGGAAAACACTCCGGCGCCCTTCTAACTTGTTCTTCTTTGTTCCAGGAACCTCTTTCAGCCTTACTGGATCGTTCTTCCGCTCCCCCAGGGTCTCCCGTTGCCGTTCCAGGTTACCACCGGACCTCGCAGGCTGTTCCAAGCAGCGTGGTTGGTCACTCAACTGGCTCACTCGAGTTCACCAAGGGAGAGATCTGTTCTCGTTTTTTATATTGTGCAGGATCTTGCACGCACAATCTGGCGCCGTCTGTGGGAAACGACTAGTTTTCCTAGTTTTTTCTCTATAAAGAACAGTGACCATGGTGAACACTCGACAGAAAGTGAAAGGACCCCACCAAAGGAGTCTCGAGTTACAAGCTCCCTGTCATCACGGAGGAAGGGATCACACCGATATGAATAAAAGTGCCTCTACTCGGTCAAGAGGGGTTACCCCTCAAACCAGTATGGAATCAGGTCAGGGGGATCAGCCCCCTTGGCTCGTCAGCTGGCGGAGGTGATTGAAGAAAAGTTCGGCAATAGATTACGACAGCTGAAAAAGGACAATGTAAACGTCCTAAGCCGGCTCAACGAGTTTGCCGCCTCTGGCGAAGGATCGAGGGATTCATTCCTTTCTCGTGGGCTTCCCGCCCGGGAGGCGGAAACGAAGGATCTAAGAAACCACCTAAACAACAAAGCAGAAAGCTCTAGGGCCCCAAAGCGACCCAGAGCCGGCGAGCATCATCATGACAACCATTCAAGGAAAGCAAGGCCATTGGCCCTGGACGACCTCCGGCGAGGTTTGTCTAGACGGAGGAAGGGAGATGAATCCGAGGAGGACTCAACCCAATCCACACGACGCCCAGGAAATGAGGGGCTTACCGATGAACTCAAGGACTTCAGAAGGCATCCCGTCAGGGAAGAAATTGATCTCAGAGCCCGGTTAGACTCCAGGAGAAAGGGTAAGGCTGTCCAGGATGAGGCCGAGGACGAAGTCATACAAACACCCTTTACGAGGGAGATCGGTGAGATGGAGGTTTCAAGAAAGTTTGTCGTGCCGCGGTTCAAAACTTATGACGGGCGGTCCGATCCCGAAGCCCATGTCAGGCAATACAAGCAGATGATGTCCCTCTATCATTCGGACCAACGGTTTCTCTGCCGAGTGTTTCCTATGAGCTTGGGGGACTCTGCGATGAAGTGGTTCGAGGCGCTTCCCCCCAACAGTATTGGGTCATGGAAGGAATTGACGAAGCAGTTCCTGGCTCGATTCATTACGGGGAGTAAGCGCCCCAAAGACATTGGATCATTGCTGACCCTCAGAAGGAGGGAATCCGAGACTCTTCGCCAGTACGCCATCCGATACTGGGAAGAGGTTAATGAGGTAGAAGGCTGCTCGGAGGTCATGGCAGCAGCATCTTTCCGGCTCGGCTTGGCAAGGGACACGGACCTGTACCGATCCCTGACCAAGAAGACTCCCTCGGATATGGGGGAACTAATGGCCCGGATAAACAAATACTCGAGGGTTGAGGACGAGATGGGAAGCAGCAAAGGCCGAGCCCTCCAATCTAAGAGAAAAGAGAAGGAGCGGGAAGATATTCCCCGAAAGGGATTGCTACCCCCTCCAGGGGGTTCGTCCAAAGGAGTTCACACTGTGTTCAAGGAACCCATCTTCAAGTTGCTCCATAAAATCAAGCACGAGCCGTTCTTCAAATGGCCGCCCAGGATGCAGAGCGACCCCTCCACCCGTGATCAAAAGGTTAGGTGTTCCTATCACCGGGATTTCGGGCATCGCACCGAAAGCTGCAGGGTGTTCAAATCGTTCTTGGAAAGATTGGTCCGAGACGGATATTTGAAAGAGTACATAGAGCCCAGGCCAGAAGAGAGACAAGCCCTTGCCCCGACCGAGGAGCCGGACAACATCATAGATGTCATCCATATATGTCCCCTGGATCGCCCCACGTCCAAGGAACTCGAGTCCGACCTCAAGAGGGTAGCTTTTACAAGGAAGGTAGCCGAGGTTGATGTAGGGCCACCAAGTAAAAGGGCCAGGACGGGTGAGCTTGGCATTACATTCTCCGACGCGAATTTGACAGGCGTAGTGACTCCTCATAACGACGCCCTTGTCTTGACCCTGAGGATAGGGAAATTCGACGTCAAAAGGATTTTGATAGACTCTGGAAGTTCCTCGGAGGTGATGTACTCCGAAACTTTAAAACGGATGGGTCTTGGCCCCAAAGACCTCACCAAAGTCAGGACACCCCTCAT